AATTGCAAAATACGATATAATTGGCAATATTAGCACAATTCCCACCAATATTACAATACTCAGCAAGCAATTATTAACTTCGGTACACATCGGTAACATCGCTGAGCCTGATCCCACCTTAAATTCAAGTACTCGCTATGAAATTTTCAAGTGACCGATAACTATTATTATTTGTGAGGTTCACGCAATCATCTTCATAAAAATGATGATAATGAGATTATATTTAGGCTTAAGATTAGGCTGAAGCTTCATTAATGAACCATGCATCTGTTTAAGAAATACCATAGCTCCGTTATAAAAGAGTGATCTATTTTGTTGGTAGATAAGTTAGCTCAGATATAAAGAAACGACCTTTAGATTTAGCAAATTCCTTAGCCCCGGTATGGACCTCAGCCTAAGTGTAAATACGATCCATTGTGATTACAGCCTCTTGCTATTATCATGTGGTTCGTAGCCGGAAAGGTTCATAGGAAATACTCTCAAAGGAAGTAGTTTTTGTTATGGGATCAGAAAATGCTTCTTCTCATGACAATTTCTACCGATCAATCAGTAAAAACTATAAATATTTTTAAAACACTATTCCAATGATGCAGGTTCCTATTCTTCGAAATCTAGTGCAAGTAATGAGTATTGTAATATTCATAAGACAAGTTGATAGAATATACAACAAAAGAAGAGATTAATGAGATGAAATTTGGTAAACCTACGAGAACGGATAACGTGACAAGATCACCGACACTGGCCGCGATCGGCGTAGAGACGTTATCGGGATTGATGCCGCATTTATTCGATGAAACAACCACGAATGCGATTAAACACGCCAGTACAATGGATGCAACTGCAGCGGCTGATATCGCACTTGACATCACCAGCATTACGTGAGTCATTTTGAACTGAATTCACTCTGATTAGTTGTGATCTGGCTGATAGATCATTCATGAACCGCAATTTAGGCATCGATTATCACAGTTTTTTTGGGGTTAAAGTCGTTCGACGTCGAATTTCAATGACGATTCGACTGCGATAAAATTGTTTGATTTGATGGTGTGTTTTGTTTGATTTAAATTTTTCAGTACATTCAGCAGTTGGAATAAACTTCTGTTTCATATGAATAACAATAGAAGAATAGCAAAGACCAACTTGAATTTGAAAACGACTTAAAGCAAGACTGATAACTGCCGCAAAAAATGATAGTACGATCGCTTGTGTTTCAATTAGGCATATGTTAGAGAAAACAGTCCACGTTACTTCTTCTCTTGTTTGAAGTTCACCTTTATTCGCCTGAACAGTAAGAATTGAATGTATCAGAAAAATTCCGACTCTTCTCTCAAAGGTTAGAACCGATTTTATGCAGTGCTCATCAAGTACAAAAGTGTTTTAACTTGAAAATAGCTTTCATTGTAACGTATCACAGAAAAACTCAAATAAAGTCAATTTTTCCATCAATCAAAGTAAAGGATTNTAACTCTTTTTAATGAGTCGAAACAGGTGAGTCAAGAAACTTATAGTGATCAGAACATGCTGCAAAGATGTTGTTAAACAACTGAAATGAACGAACCAAAGTCGATAGTCTTGAGGCGTAAGTGGTTTCGAGATTACCTTTAAGACCAAGCAACGCCGGTACTAACACAACAACTTCAGGAACTTGCTGGAAAAACGGCCAATCGCGAGCCCTTTCGAAAAAGAGACCAGCTGCGATCAGACCTATTCCAGAGATCAGGAATGGCAATGAACTCTTAAAATTTTTTGTTTATATTCACTGGAATTAAATTTATATTATGTGTTGCAGTTATTGGTATCAAATGCATAGCCGCTTGATTCTACACGAAAGCAATATTTTCGATGTTAACGAAGATAAAATTTCACCAGAGGCGGAACTGTTATGTTCACTCGCCCAATTCCTAATGTGCTATTATTGGCATCATTTGAACATCCATCCCAAAAGTATGGAAATTCTTTCATAAAACATCGATTGAGCAATGAAAGCAACTCGAACCTGCTGTAGAAATGTCCAGTATGTTTCGATCTGTGCTTTTACCTCGTCTAAATGAATAATTTGCAAATGCTAATCTCTAAATTAGTCAAATGATGTATACTCAAAATTTATAATCATGCTTATCAGCCATCTTGCTTAAGGCGCCTCCAGTGAGCAAATCGGGATTCACTGAATCTGATTGTAATCTCATCGTTATGAAACGTTCGAAAAACT